GACATAAAACTATTTCATATAAATAAATGCTACGGCACTGTGAAAAATTCAATTGGAAGCGATTGCATCATAAATAGTCCAGAAATTGGCTGGAGGAGCAATGTTGACAGTTTCAACAAATATATTCTCTCCTATCTGGAGCTGCGTGATAACATCCATAGTAATCTTTTACAAACGTGCCCCCCTTTGTCTCCTTATACCCCAGCCTATTCTTACCAGCATCAGCCCTGTATGTGAATATGAGACTGCGTTGTGGATGTGGTGCCGGCTTCTTGATGAAACACCTCGCTCTGTTTCGGGACACTGATGTCATTATCACCTGAGCTCGCCCCGGCTCCGACCTGAATGTGCTGCCTCAGTGCTTCCTTAGGTTAAAAATAACTGGCTGTGTTTTATACTGGTGCAGGATCTGCTGGAGAGCCCTCACACAAACCACAGACGGGTTGGCTTGTTACAGTTTAAATACTGTCTTCCAGGAAGCTCGGTCTCGAAGGATTTGTTGACTTCCTAAAAATAGGCACAATTGAGGAGTTTAAGATATGTAAGATGCAGATTTTCATCCATCCACACACCAGTAGGCTAAGATAGTTCAGTAAGTGGAATATTTAAGTTAGGTTTTTTGTTATGTGATTTTAGACAAATAAGATAATATTTGGCACTGACAGATTAGATTTTAAAATGCTGTATAATTAAATGTGTTTAAATAAGACAAGGTTACAATTTGTTATTATCATTTGGGTATAAGCTAGACAGCACTGTTTCAAGATATGATGCTTGAAGTTTCACTTTAACTTTCTGACAGAAAGTTGGCTTTTAGATTGTTTTACAGTACGGCAGTGTTCAACATTTACTTCCATAAAGACAAACCAGTGGCACCACCAAGCCATGTTAGAAGTCAGATCTGTAAAGAAGTAAGCTCGCTCACAATAATACTGCCTGTGTTTTTTGTGCTTGTGTTTTAGTTTTTGAATTCTCTAATAAATGCAAGATAAATTTCGTTTCATGCCATTTTGGGAAACATTTAAAGTGAAAAAATAGAACCTCCACAAAGACCAGCATGTAGCAAAACCCTACCAAAAGTTACATAGTGCACCTTTAATTAACCTAAGATCATTAATGGTTCCATATAACACTCAACTATATGTTTTACAGTGTACGCTCTATAAGTGTGGTTCAGTTACCTGAAACTTCAGTAGTAATAATTTAACATATAACTACAATTTCTAAGCAGATGTATTTCTGAGGAGTGCTAAAGGTGCTGTATCTGATTTTGTATCAGAGCAGAGTTTGGCACTGGGCGTTTCATTGTAATGAGATAAAGATTATACATAGTGAACTTATGTTGACCTCAAGATCTGAATAAAATCTGGTACAGGCCCTTTAATTCATCTATACAACATTCATAAGATACATTTCTGTCCTTCCAATGCGCTCCTACTGCCCAGAACAATAAAAATGATAATGCCTTCTTTTGACAATCGTCATGTAGATAGATTACATACGTCAAAAAGACCATTCCACCAGTATGCATTTTTACTGCTCTCATCTACAATAAACCTAATCACAAAGTCGTGATTTATGCCAGGCAAACTTTATCACATTACCCTGCTTCATCGTACTTGGCTCTTCCTCTTCATCATTACAACTAAAAATAACAGCTACCGTGAAATTGTCAGCCTTAAGATCACACTGTGTTTCTGCATATGTGAACAGTAGCAGACTGCAAACATGGACTATATTTAGAGAAGATCCCAGCCAATCACTCCACCTGCCAGCCCAGTCTCCCCAAAGACCTGATAATGAGCAAAACTCTCCATCTGGCAACGCATGCTCGGCAAAATGGACGCCCAAAAAGTGATGTCGTAGAACCTTCGAAGTGTAATTAATCGGATGCTGAGAGCAGAAGAACAGTGAGTGATCTGATACTGGCACAGCTAACAATTGTTCAGGGGAGATGGGAGGGAGTGTAGACTGGTTGGTACAATTGTTAACACTTTCTTTCATGTTCAGTGGATATTATCAAGACTCATGGTACATTCTTATGGTTTGTCGCTGTTTAAATGAATCAATTGTATAACCTGGATGATGTCCTCAGAAAATCCAGGGACATTTGTTGAACTAGTTTTATAATTATTTACTAGTTACAACTTTTTTGCAATGATGAGTTTTTTTTTTGCAATAATAATATTACCAATAATGACCAAAGTTGCACTATAAGGTGGAGGGTCTGTCACCTGCTTGTCTTCATGAAAATGTCTTCTTAATAAACTATTGTGTTCATTAAGAATTATGGCAAGACATACGTTTTCTCTGCATATGACCCATTCTTCAACCAGTGCTGCTGGGGCAATCAGTCAGGAGTAGCGGGCCACTGATGGACAGTGCTTCGACACCCATCTCCAGATATTGAGCTAGGTTTGGGCAGGGTTACCTTAGCTGGAGGATTTGACATATTACATGTTTTTGGACTGGACACAGGGAGAAATAAAGATGTAGCAATTGTAAGTGTTACTGTAAATAGCCTACATACCAAAATAGCTCTGGCAAGAGAAATCACTGGTTCTATCTCACAGTGGTTCAGATAATCTTCTAGGAATGTTCTAGTTCAGGATTTATGCTGTCTCACTAGACTAAAGAGTTGTTTAAAACAGGAAAGCCTCGGGTAAAATGCTCCCGTCTGACAATCTAGTATGCAGAGTTATTAGAGAAGCTGTTAAAACCTCGAATGAGTTTGGTCCAGAGGGCTGTTATAGTTACAGTAATAATAGGCAAAAAATGATTAGACGTCAAGAGCAGACTTCTAAGAAAAAGCCCTTCAGGGAAAATATGAGGAGAGATTAATGTAGATTTGAGATATTAGATTCAACGATAGTTTTATTACGCTGTCAGCTGGACAATGGGGCTATAGACAGGAAAAGGATGGTTTTAATTAATCATTCTTACACAGAACAGATTTGTCATTGTATTGCAGCAGCTGAAAACCAAAACTGTTTCTTGTATTCTGTAAAACCATTCAATTCTTTCAAAGGGTAACTCACTAAAAATGGTCAATACATGTTTTTGTTTTGCTTTAGATTGCGAAATAGTATTAATATTGTGGTAAAAGTATAGTATAGTGGTAATCTGAAAAGACAATGTTTGTAGCATATTTTAGTACAAATAAGACTAATAGATATTAGAAAGAAGTCCCTATCCATTATTTGATTTACTAGTAACTACAAGAAAATAGTAACTTTTCTTGAAGTGGGTCTGCCTGTCTCCATAGAGATATTAATGCTTTGTCAGAAATGTTCTCCAATATGGAATCCAACAGCTTTATTGCATTTCAACTGCAGATGTAAGTGTCTCTATAAAGACAGAGATGTTTAATAGTGTCAAACTGTGAAACATTCTGGGCAAAGCAATAACATGAAGACAAACTGCTGGTGAACCCTCCACCAAAAAATGTATGTAAGATTTTGATTTAAAATTTCATAACTTGCGTTTACATTTCATAGATTGGCCTATGTGTGTTCTCATACAAGGTAAACATGTTAAAATCAATTATAGCCTTTACTGATAACCATTCTCATAATTAGTTTTAATTACAAAAACACTGGACATGTTGTCACATTTATATATGTTATAATTTGGTGTTTTGGTTTTCAAGATTACTATCCAGAATAAGCCAGTTTCAATGCTAAAATCCAGTTGCTTTTACAGCTAAAATGACTCCATCATCTAAACGATCACTATCTAAACCCCAGCAGCTGCAGAGAATCACTGACCACTGCTAGTGCAACCTCTGCAGCTGGAGGTTCTGAGTTTTCACATCAGGCATGGCCTGTCCATATAATGAGAATAAGAAAAAATTGTTTGGGTCCTCTGTATGCAAGTTAAAGCACTGGCAGCCCAGGTTCAGTTGTGATTGGTGTTTTATAACTGTAAGAGTGCAGGCTACATACATTTCCTTTCATTTATGAATGTAGTTGTATCTTGGAAGTGTCTTATTAAACACGTTAACATACTGATTCTTGTGGTTATAAGGCTTGTGTATTCCCAGTTGTGATCAAGTTACTGAAAAATGCATCCTGCTTAAGTTAACACCCCCTTTGTTTTATATAAAGAACAATGTACCATCCTGTGCTGTACTACAAATACTATAGTCCAAGTCTCTACAGTATACACGTGTGTGAGGGCATATTAAAAGTTAAACACGGGGTTGAGCAGAAGATTAACAGTGGCTAACAGCACAGACAGAGAATTCATGTGAGAATATATAGCCATGCTGCTGACTCTGCCTTTACCATTTATATAACAAACACCACCACAGGCTTTGAACTCTACATAAAACATGAATGTGCATTATTTATAGGGAAATTCTTGGCAAAAGATCTCAAAACAATCTCTATTATCCAACCACATATTTGAGCCAAAGTGCACAGACAAGAAAATGAAAGTTTATATAAAAGCAGGGAACATTAAAAATCCATTTCCAAATATGCTGCTTACTGACTCCATTCCTTTTCTTTTCTCCTGTTGTCCATAGAAATTCTGATAATCCTTAACGAACTATAAGTAGCATGTCATTTTACAGCTTAAAAAAAAGTACTACTACTAATATTAATATAATATATAAAAAGTGTCTCCACACATCTCCAACACTCTAGCTCACTAGAAAATGAGGCCCTATGTTCAAAATTCTGACCTGTCCCTTAACTGTGAGGCAAGACTTTTGCGCCACATACGGACTGAACAGGACTAAAACAGGCCATTATCCGTTTTTCATTTAAACAGAAAATCAAAAACTGAAAAAACAAATTGTTATCCATTTTTTCATTGTTGTTTTAGAGACAAATAATGAAGATTTTTTTTTTTTTTTCGTTTTCTAATTTTTGGTTTTATTTTGAAAAACGAATGACCAAATGATATACACATACAGCTCCTTAAGAATAAAAAGTAATAGAAACTACTAACTAAATGACTCATAGCTTACACCCCTGATTCTTTATGGTTCTTACCCGCTCTGCCGACTGTGCCGTGCCAAAGAAGATGGGGATGAAGGCCAGCCAGATGATGCACGTGGTGTACATGGTAAATCCGATGGGCTTGGCTTCATTGAACGTCTCCGGAACACTTCTGGTTTTGATGGCGTAAACCGTGCACGTGACCATAAGCAAGATGCTGTAACCCAACGAACAGATGAGGGACAGGTCTGAGATGTCACATTTGAGCACTCCCCGGGCATTTCTCGGATCTTGCGTTCTCTGCTCGCCGTAATCTACAAACGTATGGGGTGGGTCGGCACCGAACCAAACCAGGATGCCGAAAAGTTGCACGGAAATGAGCGAGAACGTGATGACCAGCTGGGAAGCAGGCGAGATGAACTTCGGAGCAGTCACGGCCTTCTTGCCTTGCTCGAAGATGCGATGGATGCGGTTTGTTTTCGTTAGCAATGCGGCATAGCTAATGCTCATCCCTAATCCGAGAAAAATCCGTCGGAATGAGCAGACCACAACATCTGGAGCAGCGATCATCGGGAATGTCGCGATGTAGCACAGGAATATACCAGTTAGCAACACGTAGCTCATTTCTCGTCCAGCTGCACGCACAATCGGAGTGTCGTTGTAGCGGATGAAAGTGGCTATTACGAAAGTGGTGGCGATGATGCCCAAAACGGAAATAAAAACTGGGAAAAGAGCCCAAGGGGAGTCCCATTCCAGTTTGATAATAGGGATAGATTGGCAGCCTGTGCGGTTGTAGTTTGGACGTTGTTCGTAAGGGCAAAGGTCGCAGGTGAATTCAGTGGACTGGTAGTGGTAGCCCTCACAGCGCTCACAGTGCCAACAGCAGGGGACGCCCTTCACCACCTTCTTGCGCTCGCCAGTCTGACAGGGCAAGCTGCACACGGAGGCCGGGAGAGAGGGGTCCCCTGTGGTCCACTGCAGGCTGTCCAACTGAGAGACAAAAATGCACTTTTATTTATTTACTTATTAATTAGGGAATGTTACTGGACAGGACAGATGGGAGCATGAAAGGGAGTCAAGACATTCAGCAAATTGGATAAACCAGGATTAATTTTTGCAACGGCTACTGTACTAGCATAAATACATTTTTTAAAAAAAATTAAGATAAGAGAACCTTTATTTGTTTCCCAACAGGGAGATTTCAGTGTTACACTTAACAGAACTTAACAGAACATTTATCAACATCAGTTTCTAATTGTTTAGGTAGCGGAACCACAACTTGGCAATGATTTACCTATGCTATAAAAGTAATGCTACAAACATTAAACAGTAATTATTTTTGAGATATGAATGAAGTAGAAAGGGTATGTTTTACACTAGTTTTGCATACTTACATTGAGATAAAGCTGGTTGGTCCAGTGTCCGATTACTTTGTACTCTGCCACTGAGTAGTTGTTGATTTGATACTGAAAGATGTCGTAACGTCCTGGGGCATCACCATTTTCATTAAAGATGACTGGAGTCCCAGCACTCCCTGTGAAGACAAAAAAACAAACAGCAGTGTTAGTAAATGTTTTATTCATTATAGTCCATCTACAAATCAATATCACTTAAGACCATTGGAAATATTGTATTATTATGTGCTGTGTCTGTGCACTCATATCCGTTTTGTATTTTCTCAATAACAAAAAACAGTATTGGATCCAGTGGTGCTACAGCCACGTGCTCCAGTTCTACTTCCAGTTGTTTATGAATGTTATTGTTGAAGCTTGTTTTGTTTCTCCTGTTGCGTTCACACTGTCTGAGTTTAGTCTGTCAGTGTGAAGCTCCTCTTCTCTCTCTGCCTAAGCGGATCACTGTCCACACACACGCAAACACACACCACACATACACGCACACACATGCACACACTCTCACACACATACACACAAACACTGCTGTGGAGAGCAGCACACACACAGGACTAGACTGGTTTTGTCAGATCATTGTTCACACCATCTATTTCTCAAAATCACATCTGAATCAAAACATGTTATTTGAGGATTTTGATTAGATTTAAATGTTTTTATTATTGTGTTTTGTTGGACCCAGAATAATTGAGGTAGTGTTTTACTTCTGTGATTGTTGCTGTATAGAATTAGTTCAAAACATCAGTCAAGTCAAATTGGATTAAGTGTCTGGCACAAGGACACAGAATTAAACCACTGTGTAAATTAGTTAGTAGGTGAACCTGAAAAAAGTACCACCTAAGAAAATATTTGAATTTATGAGTACCAGGAGAGCTTCTAGGTCTATAACAGGACTATAGGTGTCAACCAGGACAAAAGACAAATATTATTAGCATATAATAACAATAAAATAAGCATTTGCACAGACTGATATGAGCAAATTTGAGACCAAGAGAAAAAACACAGTTAAATCAATTTTTGCACTCCCTGGTGGCAGTAAAAGGTCAAAGTGCACATGTCAGAGGACACTATAATGCAGAAGTAATGCACAAGTTGTCGTGGTGATGAGGCAGTTGTGTGCGAAATCAGTGTAGCAGTAAACAAACAGCTGGGCCCCATATTCTCTCATTCACCTCTGCTCCCTCTCCCAGCGCTGTCAGCAAACGCCAGGCTTGCATAGCTCAAACTCAGCTTAAACACTCACAAATGTCAGAAAAATGTGGACAATAGATATTCAAAATTGAACTATGAGATTTAGTATTTTCCTCTCAACTGTCACAAACTGAAACACAGGCGACGCACTTTCAGAAAATATTTGGCTGTTTATCTTTACTTATTTTTATGGGTTTACATTTCCTCTTTATAGGTGTCATGTTGAAGATTTTGCCCGATAAAAGTCATATCGGAAAGACAAGAAATACTTTGTTGAAATTGGTAACCAGACCAGATTGGTCACAGATCATATGCCCTGACCTGTGGGGAGCTCCAGGGGTATATCCTGGGACCACTTCTGTTCACTATCTACATGCTGCCTTTAGGCCAGTTAATGAGCAGAAATGATGTAAATATGGTAAATTTGTGGAATTATTCAATATTTTTGAAACCTAAGTTTAGATACAGATATTTGTTTCAAAAATTTAAAAGCCTAGAAAGTGAATGTAACCTATTGTTTTGTTTGTGGGCTGATGCAGATTTACACCAGATGCCATGCCCGTCAGAGACATTCATATTACTCTGAATGAAGTAGGCAACAGGAATGAAGTTTGTTACCGGGAACACAACAAGAGTGCATCTTTTCCCTCCCACATCTTCATTCATAAACCGATATTATGTAACAGAAACTATTGCACAAAGTGACAAAACATTGCTTAGTTAACCAAGCCAAATGGGTAAAAGGCAATTCTATCCAGTTATAGGACATGCAGTGGTGGAAAAAGTATTTAAAATTCTTACTCAAGTAAAAGTACATGGCTAATGTAATAATGCACTCAATCACAAGGACTGCTGTAAAGTGAGGAGTATGCATGAAAAATACTACTCATCAATCAGATTACATGGCTAGATTTATACTCAAGTACAAACTTAAAAAGTTACAGTGATGGAAGTATTTGTAATTAGTTAATTTCCAGCCCTGTTGACATAGCCATAAATGAGCTAAATAAACAGTGACTACTGGCCAGATCCTCAGCCAATGAAAAAGAACCAGTCAAATATTGATAAGGAAAAAGTTGTGAGTTGTTTGATGCTGTTTTCCTGTTTTCTTCATTCACTTGTGGAAAATTGCAATTCAAGCATCTTCCCTTTGATTTGCATAAGAACATCTCCAATTATAGATAAAGTCGCTCCCATTTTCAGCTAAATCTCAAAAACATAAATTCTTTTCTCAAATCTTTTAATGCACATACCCATAGCTGCATTTTAGTTTAAACATTGTCACATTTGCATCCCATTAAGTTGGCACACAATGGCAAACACTGCAGAATCATTGGAACAGTCTAATCTCTGAGCCCTCTTATCGTTTTGTATTGCTTAAGGCTAAAACTAACACGGGGAGGAAGTTGATGCGGATTACTTTGACACAGAGAAAGAAATTTTGAGCTAAAGAGTAAGCGCAGAAGAGGAAAAACAGATTTGTAAAATGAGGGGAGTGGGCGATGGTTTGATTTTGTCCTGATTTTCGTCTTTTTCTGCATAAAATAAGCATCAGAGCACAGTGAATCACTGTTACAGCCCGAGGACACACAAACACCCCATTTTATGTTGCTACACGCTACGCATTTATGAGCATGCTAAAGACGCTAACGAGGCTAAAGCTGGTTCAAGATGGCAGCTAATACAATGAACTATAAATAAACATAGCTTTACTGACATGCAGAGAAAAACAGATTTGCAATGTTAGAGTGGATGTGGTCATTTCTATAAGAATCAATTGAGGATAACTAAGCAATGCAACTGGAACAACGTGAGCACCACAACCCTCCTCCACAGACCTGGTTTAGGAGATGATATCTTGCTGCCTCTATTACAATATGCTGTTTACTTGTTTCTAGATATAGGAACTTTCCCCTCTATCTCAGCTCGTATTCCCAGAACTGATATCAGAACTGCACTCCTGGTAAACCTACAGCATACCACATATGATAAAATATAAGATAGATAGATTATGGAGGTGTTTCATGGGTGTTTCTTCGTGGAAATATGATTCTATTGTTAGGAATGTTCCACACTATGTCATTAAACTAAATAACTCAAAGTTCAAAAAGTTCTGTTCCACCTTGTGATGTCATGAAGATTTCAAGTTAGCAGTCACCTTTTTCCTTTAGTTCAGTAGAGATTGGAAATTCCAGATCTAAAATTATGGAGTCTAAAAACTTTAAATATTAAGGCTGAACAATCTATCGTTCTGGACCGAAAATCGCGATCTCAGGCAACACAATTTTGGGAGCATCAAAGCCACTTTATTGGCAGTGCTCCTAAAGCCCAATTTATGGATTTATGGATCTGCGTCAAGGTCTATGCACCGTGAAGTAATTCACCGCCACAATATGAGGAGGCTAGGATTTAAAACTGGTGTTCGTGTAAAGTTTAACATGAACCATCTTCAACACAATAGAAGCACAGAACAGACTCACCATCATCAGCACATCCTCTGTCACAGAAAGAACACTCATATTCCACTGAGTCATGTCCTTTAGTTCAACAGAAAATGACCACATCAGGGCACAAGTAGCGAGCAGGTTTTTTTCAGCGCTTATAGTTTATGCAAATTAGCCATGTGGTTTTAAGTTTCATTTCTGTAAAATGTAAACAAATGTGCACAAAGCTGCATTAAACACATTATTACTCAATATATATTGAAAGAAAGGAAAGCCAAGTACAGGAAATGTATGTAGAACGGTGGTAGAGAGGACCAATCACAGCCCTTATTGTCTGTGTCACTTCCTCCTGCTGTCTGCATCGTTTTGACATGTAGTTAGAAAATTTCGGAGGTGCACATTGTTCAACGCAAAGAGTCTGCAAAGGGGGTTCATGTTGACGCAGACTCTCTGCATTGTGAGGCAAACGATTTGATGCCGGATCATAAACTGGGCTTCACAGTCCAGCATCAAATGATCGGTGCAGGACTCTGGTATGATGTAAGTTTCTTAAAAATGTTCAGTCCTACTAAATATGCAGGGTTTATGTGTGAATGAAACAAAACACAACTCCAGGTATGCTTGGGATGAGGAACAACATTATAAGAAAGATCAGAAAATAGTGCAATATTCTGATCCCTTTCATACTGTGGAACATTCCAGGCCATAACATCTCCATAGAGACAAGAAGGTGGCTCCACCAGAAATATTACGTATTGCACCTTTAACTTAGTAATTCATGTACTATTTTGCACATTATTTTTTCACTTCTCACACTTCATTGTAATGCAAAGACAAGTTCTCTACACTCCTAAAGCAGATGCAATGGTGTCACTTTTACTGAAGCTGCTGTTTGGCACATGCAGCTGACTGGTTCAGTTCTAAAGTTGCTAATTGTGGTGTGACAGGCTCAAACTGTGAACTGATGACAAACACGTGGGCCTCAACTGCCAGCCCCGATCAACATTACGCTGGAGAGATACGGCTGCCAGTGTAAATTGAATACATGACATAATGAACATGATCTGAAACCCAACTGATTTAGAAGGAGGTAAGTAGATTATATTGATTTTTGTGTATGAACTGGAGCGAATCAAAGGAGGAGCCAGAGACCTGTTTCTGGATCTGTGCCATAGTCTTAGTCCACACTAAAAGATATCACCAAGTCTAGGAATCAGCTGTTGACAGATCATGTTTCTTGCTGACTTTTTTTTCTTTTATGATTCCGTAAACTGATTTTTATCTCATATATCTCAACTCTTATCAAAATACACAACTTAATGAAAGAAGACATGGCTTCTGGTATTATCACTTAAGGGGATTATTAATGTTTTGTTCATTGTAAACCACGACAGGCCTATTGATTTAAACCAGCTTAATAATAGAAACAGTGCCATAGACTTCTGTTCAGTTCAGCAAAACTGATCCCTTGCTGCTGGTCCTGCCTCTTC